CAAATCATAGAGAATTCTTCTTCTGAAAATCTCCCATATTCTGCCAAGTATGGTGGATTATTGAGGAAAAATGGAATGGTACCAAACCTCAATTCTTCTATAATGGGTTCCAATGGACAAATTAATATTCCTAAAAGAACTTACTCCTTTGCGGATCTTTACTCAAAAGGAAATTCTTCAGGCCTTGGAAGCTTTGAGGGATCTAGTGTCCATAATCAAAATGCAAATTTGCTGGTGCGGACTTTACTGAGCATGTACCTGGTACTTGTTCTCTCAATCAAAAGTTGAACTCAAATATTAAAAATAATCTCGATGCAGGTTATTTCTATTCTCTCTTTTTCTCTCTCTCCCTCTGAGCATTCCTGCAGAGATTTTTTGGATGAAATTGTGTTTTTATATTAGGTACAGCTTCAACTGTTAGTGTAGATGGGCAAAATTTGAACGGATTTGGTTAATCAATTAGGTTCTGAGGTTCATTCTCCAGTTACAGACCCACGCTATATTCAACACTTGCAAAGAACTCCTAACTGTGCAACACGGGGTGCAAGTGATCCTTCTTTTATTAGGAACCATGTTGGAAGTTCACATGGAGACTTGGATGGCCTTCAGAAAATTTATCTTGAGGCATTGCTAGCTCAACATAATCAACAGTATGATCTGCCTGGTCTAGGTAAATCTGGTGGTGTGAATCATGCGTAGTATGGGAATCCATCATATGGTCTTGGTATGCCATTTCTAGGGAAACCCATGGCAAATTCTGTTCTTTCTTCTCTTGGTTCTGGAAGGTTTAAGAATGACTGAGTCTCTCGATGTACTTCAATGATGAGAAGTCAAATGCGAGGATCCCCAGGGTCATGGCAATCAGAGTTTGGCAATGCTGTGGATGGTAGATATATGTCTTTGTTATTAGATGAGTTCAAGAATAAGGCTCAAGCTTTTGAACTTTCAGACATTGCTGATCATGTTGTTGAATTCAGGTATGCCATTTTTAGTGTTTTTGTATATTGATGTGTTGAATAGGGGCTACTGAGCATGTTATTTCCTGTTTCATTATGCAGTACGGATCAGTATGGCAGTTGCTTCGTTCAGCAGAAACTAGAAACTGCTACTGTGGAAGAGAAGAACTTGATATTTCCTGAGATTGTTCCTCATGCTCGTACTTTGGTGATAGATGTTTTTGGAGATTATGTTATACAGAAAGTATATGCTCCTAGTTTGAAATAAAAATCCACATGCTATATGATCTATCCTTAATCAAACTTTGTGCTTCACGTGCAGTTTTTTGAGTATCGTACAGAAAGTCAAAGAGGAGAGCTAGCTAGCCAACTCATTGGTCATGTTTTTGCCTCTCAGTCTTCAAATGTATGGTTGCAGAGTAATTCAGAAGGTGCTTTTCTGAGCTTCTATTATCTATATCTTTTCTTGCTTAATGATATTGGTCTTGTGGTTTCTCTTCACACCTCTTCTCTGTATAATAGATATATCCTCCAAAATGTAATTCCGATATGATCTGCTGCCTTAATTTTTCTATCGTTGTTGCCACTGAACCTCGTATAGGTATCTTTGACTTGCTCTTGGCAGTTACTATTTCACTATTTCATAGGCTTTATTTCAACAGCAAAGTATCTTAAGCTTTCTGCCATGGGTTATTCATAATTCTGTTAAGTTTCTAGCTTTTTGGAGTTCCCCTGCAAGCGTAACCTTTGGTGTGTAACTAATGCTAACATAAAAGAAGTCTGATCTAGTGAAAAGGATATCAAGAATGAACTTGTAGACTAAAACTAGCGTCCTTACACCCTGTGTTCCCCCTTTCCCCCCAACCGTAAACCAAAAAAAAAAAAGAACTTAAAATGAGTTATTTCTATTCATTATTATAAAAGAAGAAATATAAAGAAACCAAAATCAGTACGAGATATCTTGCAGCTAATTTTGGTCCAAGATATATTGCAGCTACCTAAAACCAACCCCCGGAAAAGAAGAAAAAGAAGGGAAAAGGAAAATCAGTTGAATATAGCAGTTTGACAAAGGCCATGAGCCTTCATCCCTAGAGAAGCCAAAAAAGCCAAGAAGGCTAATTTGTTCCACATTGAAAAAGGGGACGAAATCAGTCTTTTAAAA